ACATTCAAGACCACTGATAATCTCCCTCGATCTGGGGCTCCACGCAAGATCTCACCCCGTGGGGTCAAAATGATCACAAGAACGGTGAGCAAAAATCCCAGAACCACACGGGGGGACCTAGTGAATGACCTGCAGAGAGCTGGGACCAAAGTAACAAAGCCTAACATCAGTAACACACTACGCCGCCAGGGACTCAAATCCTGCAGTGCTAGACGTGTCCCCCTGCTTAAGCCAGTACATATCCAGGCCCGTCTGAAGTTTGCTAGAGTGCATCCAGAAGAGGATTGGGAGAATGTCATATGGTCAGATGAAACCAAAATATAACTTTTTGGTAAAAACTCAACTCGTCGTGTTTGGAGGACAAAGAATGCTGAGTTGCATCCAAAGAACACCATACCTACTGTGAAGCATGGGAGTGAAAACATCATACTTTGGGGCTGTTTTTCTGCAAAGGGACCAGGACGACTGATCCGTGTAAAGGAAAGAATGAATGGGGCCATGTATCATGAGATTTTGAGTGAAAACCTCCTTCCATCAGCAAGGGCATTGAAGATGAAACGTGGCTGGGTCTTTCAGCATGACAATGATCCCAAACACACCGCCCGGGCAACGAAGGAGTGGCTTCGTAAGAAGCATTTCAAGGTCCTGGAGTCTCCAGATCTCAACCCCATAGAAAATCTTTGGAGGGAGTTGAAAGTCCGTGTTGCCCAGCGACAGCCCCAAAACATCACTGCTCTAGAGGAGATCTGCATGGAGGAATGGGCCAAAATACCAGCAGCAGTGTGTGAAAACCTTGTGAAGACTTACAGAAAACGTTTGACCTGTGTCATTGCCAACAAAGGGTATATAACAAAGTATTGAGAAACTTTTGTTATTGACCAAATACTTATTTTCCACCATAATTTGCAAATAAATTCATAAAATCCTACAATGTGATTTTGTATTTCGTTTTCATTTTGTTGCACAGTTGACGTTTACCTATGATGAAATACAGCCTCTTCTCATCTTTTTAGTGAGAGACTTGCACAGTTGGTGACTTACTTTTTCCTTCCCCACTGTTATATGTGGGTATGTAAATTATATATGTATGTATGTATATGTTATCTATTTTTACATTTTTTATGTCATCTAGAGACGCCTTATCCAGGCGCTTACAAGTTGGTGCATCACCCTATAACTAGGGGGGGGGGGAGGGGGGGGGGGGGGGGGGGGGGGGTGGTGGTAGAAGGCTTTGCTTTATCCTATCCCAAGGTATCCTTAAATGAGGTGGGGGTTTCAATGTCTCCGGAAGGTGTGTGAGTGACTCCGCTGTCCTGGCGTCGTGAGGGAGCTTGTTCCACCATTGGGGTGCCAGAGCAGCGAACAGTTTTGACTGGGCTGAGCGGGAACTATGCTTCCGCAGAGGAAGGGGAGCCAGCAGGCCAGAGGTGGATGAACACAATGCCCTCGTTTGGGTGTAGGGACTCATCAGAGCCTGAAGGTACAGAGGTGCTGTTCCCCTCACAGCTCCATAGGCAAGCACCATGGTCTTGTAACAGATGCGAGCTTCAACTGGAAGCCAGTGGAGTGTGCGGAGGAGCAGGGGTGACGTGAGAGAACTTGGGAAGGTTGAACACCAGACGGGCTGCGGCGTTCTGGATGCCATGAAACCGTGATTAATCTGTGAAGAGCACACTTCTCCAGCATCCCAGTGGCCATCGAAGGTGAGCATTTTCCCACTGAAGTCGGTTACAATGCCGAACTGCAGTCAGGTCAAGACCCTGGTGAGAATGACGAGGATGGAGATGAGCTTCCCTGAGACGGTTTTTGACAGTTTGTGCAGACATTTTTCGGTTGTGCACCCACAGTTTCATCACCTGTCTGGGTGGCTGGTCTCAGCCAATCCCGCAGGTGAAGAAGCCGGATGTGAAGGTCCTGGGCTGGCGTGGTTACACGTGGTCTGCGGTTGTGAGTCCAGTTGGACGTACTGCCAAATTCTCTGATTTGATAACATTTAGACTCAGTAACACATTTAAAGACGCTTACACATGGGCCATGGTAAACGGCAATTGAACCGTGAGAAAATCTGCCTACCGTGTGTAGAGACCACTGGTCCCGGGTTGTTGACAGCTCGAATATTGTCATTAAAACATTGTTTGATTGATTGACTAGATTAACTTTGCTCATTGGTCAATCATGCGCAGCGGCCGCTCAAGACTTCAGCTAATTTCATCTTTTGGCACCTCGAACACCGAGCCAGTGGCGCCACTCACAGGAGCGAGCACCACAAACCGCACCGCTTGCAAAACTGCCCTGCTGCCCTACTCCCATTGAAGTCTTTGAGACCTTCGCCGCTTACCGCGGCCTGTCTGTAAGCACCTTAAAAGTGTTGTGGTGTACTGTTTTTGGTCGTCCTCCTGCTTAAAGGTGCTGTATGGTCATTCCACGGTCTGCATTGGCCGTGCAGCATTTAGGGTGATACGGCCTCTACAGAAGTCAGGGAATTCATACTTCTTGTGCTTCTCCGAGCAGTGCAGAGCTGTTGTGAAGGAACTTGTCAAGGAAGTGAGTTTGTGTTTATACAGGACCTCCTGCCCTCACCTACCGTCAACCAATCATGTCAATGCAGAGCTATATGGAGCCCTCCGCATTGTTACAAAATTTGAGAGGCACACAACGATGCGGTACGGAGCTCAATTTGGCCTCTGCGTGCCTCCGGAGGCTTCGCAATTGTGTCACACCATCCATACGGCGCCACCGACCACATTTTCGGCTCAAGCATAAATTGACTCTTATTCTGGGGTTCCGACTGAATGCAGTAGTAAATGTTCTCCTCACAATGTACCTGTTCAATTGACAAGAAGGGTGTTGATATAGCTGTGTTTAGGCATGTTAATTGTTTCCATTCTGCTGGAGTTGACCTAGTATTTTATATTAAACCTACCTTATACATCCAGTTGTTTCTCCATTTTTAACTCACCTACCAAAAATCACAATATGCTGTTTCAAATAACATTTTGTGTTATTTGAACTGGTCTATTTCTTAAACGGGAACAAATATTATGGGTGAGGTTTAGGTAACTCGGATGCTATTTTACTTGGGGAAAAGGATGACTGTTCAGGACCTTTAAATGGATGCAATTCAAGTTGTATGTCTAATGTGAATGCAGACAAATGAAAATCGTGTGAAGCGTCCAGGTCTAGTAAAACATAAATCAGATGAAGAATCACAATGAGGGGTTAAAACCCTTTACAATAAAATGACACAAAATAATTATAGTTTGAAAAAACTATTTGTATTCATTCAGTTCATTTTTCTATTAATCCATACTTATGAAAAGGCAGGATGCAGCTGTACTTTTACATTTAAATTGTTAATTAAAAAATGTGTGTTTGTCTTATACTAACATAATAATAATCCTCAATATATTTATCCTCACTCTGACAATCATCATGTAGTTTTGTCTCATAGACTACAAATCAAATACAATTATTTGTCACATGCGCAGAATACAACAGGTGTAAGATTATTGATGAGATCTTATTTTCTTTCTCATTATACCAGGGCTTTGTCGTTAAAAGGTTTTAACAATATATATTTCTATTCCACAGACACCTGGAAGACAACAGGATCAAAAGTATCTCCAAGCAGGCATTCTCAGGACTCTACTCACTAAGAAGACTGTATGTCCTAATTCATTATGGGCCACAGTCTGACCTGTGGTACCATGTGTACATTCCTACATCACCACAAATGGTTGTCCTAGATACATCACACTTCATCCAATGTTCTATTGAACGTTATGTAGAATGTAGTACTGTAGTGTGTAAGTAGGTGTGTTTAGCTCCTTGAGAACAAAAACATTTGGAAATCAAAGAAAACCGATCAGCGAATACACTGACCCTTTTATTGGAGCATCCTTGACAAGTGTTAATACATTCAGATTCAGATACTGTAGTCGTCCTCCGCTATACAAACGTGTGAAGTGACGTGTGAAGAGACGTGTGAAGTGTCAATGTCTAGTAGACATAAATCCGAAGTCGCCCGGCTGGTCTGTAATTAATGGAACACATGAAAGCCCTTCTTCCACCTCCATCAGGATTCACACAGAGGACAGGCAGTATGAATCAGGGCATCCTGGAGATTATACGCTGAGTGTACAAAACATTAGGAACACCTTCCTAATATTGAGCTATACACCCTATTGCCCTCAGAACAGCCTCAATTCGTCGGGGCATGGACTACAAGGTGTCGAAAGCATTCCACAAGGATGCTGGCCCATGTTGACTCCAATGCTTCCCACCGTTGTGTCAAGTTGGCTGGATGTCCTTTGGGTGGTGGACCATTCTTGATACACACGGGAAACTGTTGAGTGTGAAAAACCCAGCAGCATTGCAGTTCTTGACACACTCAAACCGGTGTGCCTGGCACCTACTAACATACGCCGTTCAAAGTTACTTCAATCTTTTGTCTTGCCCATTCACCCTCTGAATGGCACACATACACAATCCATGTCTCAATTATCTCAAAGCTTAAAAATAATTTTTTAACCTGTCTCCTCCCCTACATCTACACTGATTAAAGTGGATTTAACAGGTGACATCAATAACGGGATCATAGCTTTCACCTGGATTCACCTGGTCAGTCTATGTCATGGAAAGAGCAGATGTTCCTAATGTGTTGTACACGCACTGTCTCGCTGACAGCTAGCCTTGGATAGTTCACAGGAAATCAACTCCTACTTTTCACGTCACACCTATTTTCACATCCAGCTTGATATTAGTGTATCTCCTTCTCTGCATTCCTGATTATCGGTGTAGGTTTAAGGGGAAAACAAATAATTACAGGGAAAATGTGTCAGTGCTCTGTCCCTATACACTCAGATAGAATTTGCATGAGGAACAGGTTGATGTGTTATCTGTTGTCTGTTATCTGTTGTCTCATATCAAATATTTATATATGGCTTTTTATCTTTACATTTACCTCATCTCCTTTGATGTGTTTTCCCTCCCTGATAAGATTTCTCAGTCAGAATCGGATTACGTTGTTGAAGGCTGGCATTTTCGGAGACCTTTCGAACCTGGAGTGGCTGTAAGTCAACTGGTGGGGAGGATGTTTTCAGTGAACTTAAGACACCTTCATTTGGAAATCCTTCATTGCCTCAGTGGGATTCATGAGATTGTAGACAGAATTTATTTAATTGATACAAAAACACCTGTGTATCTTGTTGGAAACTGTGCTGCACTGGGCGGTCGTTTTCAGTGACCTTAAAGGGATAGCTCAAGGGATAGTTCTTTGTTCTACTTATCCAGAATCAGGGAACTCATGGAGACCATTGACCACTGTCTCTGTGCACAGTTTAAAGGAAGTTGGAGGTAGTTTCTGGCGCGATTGCTAACTAGCGTTAGCGCAATGACTGGAAGTCTATGGGATCAGATTAATTGCTAAAATCTTGAACTATCCCTTTAAAGCCACCTTCATTAGGAAATGCCTCGGAGAATGCCTCAGTAACTTGTTTGTGCTGCTCTATTTTCCCAAGAAAGCAATGAGCATAAGGTATGATACAGTGTGACATTTATGGTGTAGCTAACAATCCTCAGGTATGATACATGATGGTATGATATCATGGCCCATGTACTAATGCTCATTAACGCTGTTCTCTTTGACAACAGTAATTAAAGCTCATGTATACAGTGGGGAAAAAAAGTATTTAGTCAGCCACCAATTGTGCAAGTTCTCCCACTTAAAAAGATGAGAGAGGACTGTAATTTTCATTATAGGTACACGTCAACTATGACAGACAAATTGAGAATTTTTTTTCCAGAAAATCACATTGTAGGATTTTTTATGAATTTATTTGCAAATTATGGTGGAAAATAAGTATTTGGTTACCTACAAACAAGCAAGATTTCTGGCTCTCACAGACCTGTAACTTCTTCTTTAAGAGGCTCCTCTGTCCTCCACTCGTTACCTGTATAAATGGCACCTGTTTGAACTTGTTATAAGTATAAAAGACACCTGTCCACAACCTCAAACAGTCACACTCCAAACTCCACTATGGCCAAGACCAAAGAGCTGTCAAAGGACACCAGAAACAAAATTGTAGACCTGCACCAGGCTGGGAAGACTGAATCTGCAATAGGTAAGCAGCTTGGTTTGAAGAAATCAACTGTGGGAGCAATTATTAGGAAATGGAAGACATACAAGACCACTGATAATCTCCCTCGATCTGGGGCTCCACGCAAGATCTCACCCTGTGGAGTCAAAATGATCACAACAACGGTGAGCAAAAATACCAGAACTACACGGGGGGACCTAGTGAATGACCTGCAGAGAGCTGGGACCAAAGTAACAAAGCCTACCATCAGTAACACACTACGCCGCCAGGGACTCAAATCCTGCAGTGCCAGACGTGTCCCCCTGCTTAAGCCAGTACATGTCCAGGCCCGTCTGAAGTTTGCTAGAGTGCATTTGGATGATCCAGAAGAGGATTGGGAGAATGTCATATGGTCAGATGAAACCAAAATATAACTTTTTGGTAAAAACTCAACTCGTCGTGTTTGGAGGACAAAGAATGCTGAGTTGCATCCAAAGAACACCATACCTACTGTGAAGCATGGGGGTGGAAACATCATGCTTTGGGGCTGTTTTTCTGCAAAGGGACCAGGACGACTGATCCGTGTAAAGGAAAGAATGAATGGGGCCATGTATCGTGAGATTTTGAGTGAAAACCTCCTTCCATCAGCAAGGGCATTGAAGATGAAACGTGGCTGGGTCTTTCAGCATGACAATGATCCCAAACACACCGCCCGGGCAACGAAGGAGTGGCTTCGTAAGAAGCATTTCAAAGTCCTGGAGTGGCCTAGCCAGTCTCCAGATCTCAACCCCATAGAACATCTTTGGAGGGAGTTGAAAGTCTGTGTTGCCCAGCGACAGCCCCAAAACATCACTGCTCTAGAGGAGATCTGCATGGAGGAATGGGCCAAAATACCAGCAACAGTGTGTGAAAACCTTGTGAAGACTTACAGAAAACGTTTGACCTGTGTCATTGCCAACAAAGGGTATATAACAAAGTATTGAGAAACTTTTGTTATTGACCAAATACTTATTTTCCACCATAATTTGCAAATAAATTCATTAAAAATCCTACAATGTGATTTTCTGGATTTTCTTTCCTCATTTTGTCTGTCATAGTTGACGTGTACCTATGATGAAAATTACAGGCCTCTCTCATCCTTTTAAGTGGGAGAACTTGCACAATTGGTGGCTGACTAAATACTTTTTTTCCCCACTGTAGCTGCAGAAGCTTTCTATTGATTTTGTCTAATGTAACGGATGTGAAACTCGTGACAATTACATGATGTAAAGGGTGTAGTGTGACAAATAAATTGATATATTTTCCTCTGGTCCGTATGGGTGTAGGATTCTTGATGAAAATAGAATAGCATCTCTGAGACAGAAATCGTTTGAGGGGCTGAAATCGTTATTTTTCCTGTAAGTATCATGCCACTGTGCTTATTACTTTAATTAAGATCTCATGAGATACACATCATAATTTAACCAACATGCTCTTTAAATGTAATTTAATTTGGCTGCAGGTCTTTGCTGAACAATTCCCTAGAATCCATCCCCAAGAAATCTGTCTGCCAGGAAATGCCTAGATTAAACTGGCTGTGAGTAACAACAGAATAACATCTAACCCACTATGATGGGTAATATATTTGATTGTATTTGACCATTCTTATTATGAGGAAACATGATTTGACAACTCTAAATCATGTTTCCTCATAATCAGGTGTATTATTTATGACTATGTTTGCCATAATCACTCTGCAACAGTATCTATTTTCACAAACTCATTATTTCCTTTTCAACCCTTGAAAACCACATGACTTCATGTGGAAAAGCACGATTTCACATGTGAAATCATGTGAAACTAAGTGGTTTTTGAACACTTCACATATGATGGTATTTTACATGAAGTTTCACATTTGGATTTTCATCCGAAAAACGTTCTGTTTTCACATGTTGAGCAGAAACGTTCACATGTGATAACAAAAGACACATGTGAGGTCAGTTGTTCACATCTGAAACCATATGTTCACATGTATTCAATATAGGGTTCACATGTTAACACCACCTTTTCACATGTGAGGAGAATAACATGCTTTCACTTCATGTGGAAAAACTAAAGCATTTTCACATACGAACATTTTTCACATGTGAAAATTGAATTTGCACTTTCACATGTAAAAAACTTTCTAATGTTGTCACGTGTAGTTTCATGGTATCACATGTTGAAATTTTGCATCCCATGTTGTCACATTTATTTCACGAGATCATGTTTTCACATGTGCTCAAATGTTTTCACATGTAGTTTCATGTTGTCACATTTTGCTTTTACTTGTTACCACACCTTATCACATTAACTTCAAATAAGATCACGTGATCACATGAGATCACAAGTGAAATTCATGTAGTTTTTCATGTAGTTTATATCATTCATATCATTCATTAATGCCAGAATGATCTGACACATCTTTTTCACAGAGAACTGGAGGGGAACAGGATATCATCTTTGTGGGTTTCCAGCTTTCAAAACTGCACCACTCTGACAGTATTGTGAGTTTTTGTTTAATTAAAACTATATATTTTCCTAAACGTTACTTTACAATATTTGTTCATCTTTGTACCAAATCCAATTGGATAGAATGCCTTACTGTCACTGATTTGCATTTGAAACAATTCCATCTGCACTAGAGAGATGAACGCAATGAAAGAAGACACATGCTCGGTTTTCATATGATTTATATTTCAAATTAAATTCTGCCATACTCTAAGGATACATTTTCTGGTGTAAAACCCAGACTGGTAAGTGGTGCTTATGTTAAAGCTATGTACTTCAGTCTGGAGCATCTGCACTACCGCAGCTGGTAATGAAATTCAGTCTGAGGGAGAGAAACCATTGGAGCCTACACAAATTAAGTTGGCAGTTTCTATCACTGGTGATTGCTTCTAAGGCCATGTGTGATGGTGAGAGTAATGAGTAGTCAGGAAAGAAAAATTCCAATCTGATATACATGGGGTGTATTAGCTCTCTCAATTGAAGGTGATAGGGGAGGCCATGGGGGGTTGAGAGCCTGAAAATCCTCTGGCAGACTCATCCAACCCTGAGTGCTAAATATGTATCCTGTGATGTCAGCTTAAGTGTATTGAATTATTGAGGCAGGGCTGGAATTCATCTGGTGAGGGATGAGGAAAATCTATAAATCAGATTTGAACAGACAGGTAACACAAATTGAGTTTGATAGGTATTAGTGGGAGGAGAGCATTTGTTTTGATTTTATACTGTATAAATAGTACATAATTCCTTTAAGAAATACCTACAGTAACGTTACTATCAAATTACAATTCTAAATCAAATCTAACAAGCAGTGTATCTAAATGACTGTGGGCCCTACTACTATTCAAGTAATGTCATTGGTCTTGTAGGGACTGTTCTTAAATAGTAATGATTTATAGAAACATTTATTTTGTAGGGCTCTTCGAAAAAACAGAATACAAACCGTTGAGGAGGGAATATTTTCTGGAATGCCAAACCTGATAGACCTGTGAGTTAACTTTACTTCATACACCATCACATGGGTCAAGTAATGCTGTAATATGTCCAGATGCAGTAATGTATTTTATTGTTTAAAATATTTTCTGCCAATGGATTCATTTAAACTTTGTAATTCCAGGGATGTATCTGTAAACAAAATTGAGGAGTTTTCCCCAACTATATTTACAAATCTTCAAAACCTTAAACAGTTGTAAGTATATCCAATTACTATTTGCAACCTAGCCCTGATATATTTACTGTTTTGAAAGATGTTCTTGTTATGGATTTACTGAAAGTGTTCGATCTGCTTTGTACGATCAAATAGGCCAAATGATGACTTTATATTGTTGAGTTGCAGTTTATTAACATCACTGTTCATCGATCTGGCATTGAGGCCATGTTGACCACAGAGTGGAGGGGCAATAAATCAAAGAGATATAACCTGCCCTGTATTGATGTTTCCCCCCTCTTCTCTCAGGAACATCTCAAATAACCCTCTGACTCATATCTATGAGGATCAGTTTGACATGTTTGTCAATTTGCAATCTCTGTAAGTAATGTATTTCATACATATGTGACATGGTCTACTAGTTTTAGGGAATTTGAGAAATAGTAACTTTCTGTTTCCCCTCAGGAGTATAGAAGATGTCGACATACCAAACATCAGTATTCAGATGTTTCGCTCTCTTAGCAACTTGTCCCATATGTGAGTACCAGTATATCTTATGTCTTCATTTATTATTCTTATGTCATCAACATTTAATTTAATGTGTCCATACTGTATAAACAGCAAGGCACTAAGCCTGTAGAAGCTGCTAATTGGAATTTCATAATTTGTAAGAAGCTAACTGTAGGCCTACTGGGTAAAAATGGGCTAAATATAGTATGAGTAAATGTCTAAACATTTGTTGCCAATTACCTGCCAACAACTAATGAATTCATGGCTTCGTATGCATGCATAATACAAGACTATTTAAAAGTGTCTGTAAGCTACTTACTAATTAGCAGTTTATACAAGCTTAATTAGGCCACTGTACAGTAAATGGACGCCTAAAATAAACAGCTATCTTTCTTGGTGTATAGTGAGGTCTTGTTACTGCAAATGTTAATCAGCACAGATCAGGTCCACACTGCATACAAAGTACCAAAGCCTGGTTAGAGGGCAGTTCAGCACTGTATTTAACTACATCCATTTGTCAGTGAATTCTTCTCTGACAAAGCACACTATATTACCCTAAACAAACCTGTCATCTGTCAACCATATCAATGTAAAAGTGAAACTGTCAACATGATCAATGATAACTTCAGAAGAAAGTTTGTTCAAAAGTGATTAATTGTGATATTTTCGTTGTTTTCTTCTTGATCCAGTTATTTTAAGAAATTTGAATACTGTGGCTACTCTCCTAATGTGCGAAGTTGCAAGCCAAAAACTGATGGAATTTCAACATTTGAAAATCTTCTTGCGAACATCATCCTTCGCGTTTTTGTGTGGGTGGTGGCCTTCATCATCTGCTTTGGCAACATCTCTGTGATCTGCCTGAGGTCTTGCATTGCATCTGAAAATCAGCACCACACCATGGCCATCATATCACTGTGCTGTGAGTAGACTACCTCAACACAGAGGGCAGCAATCACTTCTCATAACTTGTACTTATCTAACTCATTATCTATTGAGATTCATTGAGCAGCAGTGTATAAACACAACTCCTCTCATGACAAACTATGCATGTGAACTAAGATCCCTGAAATCCATCCCATCTGTTAGGCGCTGACTGCCTGATGGGAGTCTACCTGTTCTTCATCGGTGCATTCGACATCAAATACTGTGGAGAGTACAACAGACACGCTCAGCTGTGGATGGAGAGCCTCCAGTGCCAGTTGATTGGCTGTCTGGCCATGCTGTCCACTGAGGTGTCAGTCATGCTTCTGACCTACATGACTCTGGAGAAGTACCTGTGCATTGTGTTCCCCTTCCACAACTACAGAGCCGGACGGAAACAGACACTCTGCTACCTCATCTTCATCTGGGTCCTGGGTTTTATAATCGCCGTCATTCCCTTCTGGGACAAGCAGACGTTTGGGAATTACTACGGCAGGAATGGAGTGTGTTTTCCACTTCACTCAGACGAGATGGAGAAACCAGGTGCCCGGTGCTACTCAACTGGAATATTTCTGGGTAAGAGGAACATAGGAATCAGCCCTGATGGTGGTGATTCTGCAAGATAATGAGGATAATAGAAAGATGAGGATGCAATTCCACAGGCCTTGGATTATGTTTCATGTATTTTCCTGGGGAGACATGAGACTGCAATGAAAAAAGGTTTATCATCATATCAGATCTCAGCTAGACTTTTCTTTCACAGCGATGAGGACTTCTGATATACCAATCAGTTCTAATTAGTTCAAATCTCCACGAGAATAGAAAGATCACCAATTTCTGCAAGTTTTGCAATAGCTTTACTCTGATTATGGTCTTGCTGATGTAATTCAGTTTTATTCAATGCTTATATCAGGACGGTATTTTGTGGTGTAATGAACGCATGTATTTCACATTTTGTCTTTCAGGCTTGAATCTCTTTGCATTCGTCATAATTGTCTTCTCCTACACCAGCATGTTTTATTCTGTACAGAAAACAGCCAAGACAGCAAGACAGTTCGTCTACAACAAGGAGGTCTCTATAGCCAAGAGGTTTTTCTTCATCGTTTTCACAGATGCCATGTGTTGGACACCTATATTCCTCCTAAAGATCCTCTCTCTTTTACAAGTGGAAATAGCAGGTAAACCAGATACATGTGGTTGTATGATTACTACTATTAAATTGCTATCATTTTGTTTAATCTTTGTGACCTCCTCCTTGTCCCCTTTCTCCTCCTGCTCCTCCTCTACCTCCCTGTCCTCCAGGAACGATCGTTCTATGGGTGGTGATCTTCATCCTGCCCATCAATAGTGCCCTAAACCCCATCCTGTACACCATCACCACCAGCTCCTTCCAGGAGAGACTGAAACTCTGCCTGAAGGCCAAGTGCAAACAGACTGGGCTCAGGGAAACTTCACAAAAAGTATTTGAAGTCTACCAGAACCCCAGCCCTCCTCCTTAACAAAAAGGACCCTCTCAGTCAGGGAGCTGGTCAACCCTCCTGGAGAGCTACTGCCCCCCCAGAACAGCCTCAATTCGGCGGGGCATGGGCTCTACAAGGCATCTACTACCATACCCCGTTTTGTCTTGCCCATTTACCCTCTGAATGGCACACATACACAATCCACATCTCAATTGTCTCAAGGCTTAAAAATATTTTCTTAACCGGTCTCCTCCCCTTCATCTACACTGATTGAAGTGGATTTAACAACATCAATAAGGAATCATAGCTTCACCTGGATTCACCTGGTCAGTGTACGTCATGGAAAGAGCAGGTGTTCTTAATGTTTTGTATACTCATTGCGCATGTATAGTAGAAATGTATAATAAAAAAATAAAAAAATATGGAATTGAAACGGTGTAAATGAGTGATATGTTTCGGGTTTTAGGGTGTGACATTTGGTTAGATTTGGTAAATTTCACATTCGGATGCAATGATACGGCTTGCTTCTCAAGCTCAACTGTGACAAGAAAATAAACAACAAAACAAATTATGGTGGTGAAAAAGGGCCGGTGGATTTAGGGAGAGAATACACATTTCACAACGTCTATTGATTTTCTACCCTGTTTACAGTCAGAGCAGTATAATACAAATAGATGGAGAGTAAAGAGTAATAGATGAGACAAATGAGATAAAGACGTTGTGGGCTAAAATGCAAGTTATTTACTACTACTTCAATGTACAACAGCCTGTTATATGTTACAAAAAAATTATTAAGTTAAAAATACACTGTAGTTCACAGAACTGTGTTTATGGCTATTATTTCCCCACAATTGTTTAAATTATTCAATTGGAGTAATTCCAGTTAGGAGCACTGGTTACTTGTGTAGGTACTGTATGTAATGCACATGGCATAAGAAAACACTGAAAAAAGTTAAAGGCATTCAATCATTGCACTTCCACCCATTGCATAACTCAGATTAAGATTAGATCAAATAAAACAGCATCCCTGTACATATTGCCCAACAGAAAAAGATGATTCTGTACAGGCACTTATTGTCACCTACATACTGGTAGTCACATTCATATGACTCATACAAACACTCATTCATACAGACATAAATAAAACACTGATTACTGGGACACAATAAAATACAATAATACTGTAGATACACACTTACAGGGGGGTCATATGGAATTGTTTTAAGATGGTCATACCATGGATCATTTAGCTATTTGATGAAAAGTTTTAGGACCCCTGTCAGTGTAAAAAAAATAGTAAAATATATTAGCTCTGTGAATTTATCATGAAGAAATTGCATAGCATACAGAACAAACAGGAATGGTTGCTAAAGAGATCTCCTGAGTTATTCCATGGCATTTTAGCATCCTCGCCTTTAGTCTTGCTCCTGTCACAGCAGCATTAAAATGGGAACAGATATGTAGGTATCATAAGTAAAGCTATCAACACAATTGTCCTAATCTAACCTAATCTTTCACAAGGATGGATTTTACAGAAATAAAGTATTTTATTTACTTCAGAGTACTTTTGAATATGTTAGGGTGAGTTAATGCATAGACTGGTTTAGATTTGTAAATATTGCTACAAATTCCACAGTGGCTCCAAATGGGGCATCAGTGCAATCTGAGAGCACATCCTGACAGTCCCATGTTGATGACACTGTGGAGAGTTTGTCAGGCAGATGTAACATAATGCTACAGATTGGCACTCTAAATTTGAGTCATTGTGAGCCGTAGGCAGCACGTGTCTGAGGTGGGCTGTCTGGCCATCTGAGAGCTCAAAGCTTTGTCTCTGTTTCTCTCGCTGAGAGCACAGGGAAGGAGCCCCGTATCCTAGCAACTTCCACTGCACATTGATGGCCAAACACTTTGCAGTACCACTCAGGTGATTGTCCCCTGAAAAATGACATCACAAGGTCAAATAAGACATTCTGATCCAATTACATACTTCAATAGCAGGGAGGTTCACCCACTCCTCAGAAATACATTTCAATGGCATTCACATTTAGATTATCTTTCACACAACAAATCTATGTTGCACAATTATTTTCATGGTAATTATGACTATGTTTAAATGGCAAGGTGCCAACTAATTGCATGAGCTCTAGGTCAACATGTTGTCCATAGGCATCAATTAGCCATTTAAATCATCATAAAAAACATGGTGTCCAATGGAAATTAATGCATAGCTGGTTTCCTACCGGAGGTCCGCTCTGCAGTACTGCGTCAGCCTGGACCGGTCTATCCCAGAAGGCTCAATCAGGACCCGTGAGGTGAGCAGCACTGCCCGTAGCCCCGCCTCCAGGTGAACGTTGTCATGGTCCACAGAGGAGGACACTAGCAGACATAGGCCCTGAAGAAGGTCTCTACACCACCGCCTAATCAGGAGAAAAATACAGCAAGGGTCATTACTGTCTTCTTTGGTTTCAATCAACAGCCTGAAGATTTAACAATTCACCTTACTGAATCAACAACATGTTGACTACCCCTGAGCAAAGGGCAGACATAAGTATGATTGGCCTCTGGCCACTCTGCCCTTCTGTCCATGTCTCCCAATCAGGCCTTGGATACAGCACCTGGCTAGACAAACAATTATCAAACAGCTAATTTCGTCCACCATGCGTACCTCAGCACTACATAGTCCCTGCGGGGATGAGGTGCCATGCTGTCTGTCATATAGTGATACACCTCTGTGTTGTCCTCTAGAGCCTCGATTACACGGCTGTGGAGCAGGTCTTCATCCCACAGGTGGCGCTCACGCAGAACTCTGTGCAACACTGTCTGGGGCGGGGCCTCTATCTCGGTGGTCACTTTCCAAAGACGAATGGGATGGCCATCCCCTACCTGAAGAGAACAAATAGATTGTGATATTATGGTTCAGGACTGAACAGTATACTGTAACTTTAACAAGCTAGCTAACATGCCTTCACTCTTCAAAGTGGACAGGATTCACTTCATTCCAACAGCAAAAGAAGCTATGCCAAATGGTAAATTCATTTTCCAGTCATACAATGATTGAAGGCCACACTGTCGTGACAATGTAGGGAAAAAATTATGGCTCAATTTCTCTTGAAAATATTTTTTTTGTCAAACATGCTGCTGTGATTGCTAGGGGGCCCCCAGCCCCAAAAATTTAGAAATGTAATATTGTATATATTTGTTGAAAGTGACATTGAAAAATAGTCATCAATATATATTTTATATATTTTTTATTTTATTTTTTATGGAACTCAGTCAGGGTCTGGACTTTTTTGAAAGTTGTTCATTTTTTAAACCTTTATTTAACCAGGTAAGCCAGTTGAGAACAAGTTCTCATTTACAACTGCGACCTGGCCAAGATAAAGCAAAGCAGTGTGATAAAAACAACAACACAGAGTTACATATGGAATAAACAAAATGTACAGTCAATAACACAATAGAAAATCTATATACAGTGTGTGCAAATGTAGTAAGTTATGGAGGTAAGGCAATAAATAGGCCATAGTGCAAAATAATTAAGATTTAGTATTAATACTGGAGTGATAGATGTGCAGAGGATGATGTGCAAATAGAGATACTGGGGTGCAAATGAGGAAAATAAATAATAATGTAAATAACAATATGGGGATGAGGTAGTTGGGTGGGCTAATTACAGATGGGCTGTTTACAGGTGCAGTGATCGGTAAGCTGCTCTGACAACTGATGATTAAAGTTAGTGAGGGAGATAAGTGTCTCCAGCTTCAGAAATTTTAGCAGTTCGTTCCAGTCATTTGCAGCAGAGAACTGGAAGGAATGGCGGCCAAAGGAGGTGTTGGCTTTGGGGATGACCAGTGAGATATACCTGCTGGAACGCATACTACAGGTAGGTGTTGCTATGGTGACCAATGATCTAAGATAAGGCGGGGATTTGCCTAGAAGTGATTTATAGATGACCTGGAGCCAGTGGGTTTGGCGACGAATATGTAGTGAGGGCCAGCCAACGAGAGCGTACAGGTCACAATGGTGGGTAGTATATGGGGCTTTCGTGACAAAACGGATGGCACCGTGATAGACTACATCCAATTTGCTGAGTAGAGTGTTGGAAGCTATTTTGTAAATTACATCGCCGAAGTCAAGGATCGGTAGGATAGTCAGTTTTACGAGGGCATGTTTAGCAGCATGAGTGAAGGAGGCTTTGTTGCGAAATAGGAAGACGATTCTAGATTTAACTTTGGATTGGAGATGCTTAATGTGAGTCTGGAAGGAGAGTTTCCGGTCTAACCAGACACCTAGGTATTTGTAGTTGTCCACATATTCTAAGTCAGACCCGCCGAGAGTAGTGATTCTAGTCGGGCGGGCGAGTGCAAGCAACTTACTGTTAAGAGTTAGAAAGTAGAATACACAAGGTGCAATTTCGAAATGTGGTAGTGCATCAGCAGTTTTCTACTCGTCATGTCAGTCACTGACAGTCACTCAGTTAGCCCATGTCAGCTCAAATTTTGGGGGATTGCTAAGGTAGTCTAGTCAGCTATCTAAACCTTGTAGTAAACATCACCAAATTCCCGACCGGGCACGCAGGGCATGTGCCCAGGAGCCCTGACCTCCAGGGGGCCCCCATTGATTTTGTTAGTCACTCTCACTCAGTTATCTTATGAACATGGTATAAGACATGGCAAAATGTGTAGAATTGCAGGACATTACCTTTGAAACTGCAAAATGTTCTCTCCGCCCATGGCAAAATTAGAAGAATTGCATGCAATTAGTTTATAAACTTCAAAATGTTCTCTACACCCCGTGGCAAAATGCATAGAATTGCAGGAAATTAACTTTAACACTGAAATGCACTAAAATATTTTGCCCGTGAGGTGGCGCGGCCCCCCCTACCAAATCTCGCTTAGGGCCCTCAAAAGGCTAGAGGCGCTTCTGCCTGCAGGCAAAACTAATATTAGAATGATTGAGCAGTAAATTCTGCTCTTGTATGAGAACAGACAGCATTAGTATCAGCATGCAGCAGAGTCACTGAGCCGTACCTTCTTGTAGGTCAGCTCTGTGTTCTCTGGGCCTGGGGCACTGTGCCATCCTTTGCTCTTCTCTATGGCCTCCCTCAGTACAGCCTGGATGTTCTCCTCCAGGTAGGCTCTGTAATCCACAGGCTCGCCCATCATGTTCAGTCCCAGGCCGTGGAGAGGGAGTGGCTTGGCGTCTGCTGCGACGTAGGAGTTCTGCGACTGCAACATCATCTCATGGAGGATCTGTCACACCAAATAAGAGGGCAACTGGGTTATTTTAAAAATGAATTACAGAGATGTATATAGCGGTTGTCATGTACGTATAGTGTAGCCTACTGAATTCCTCTGAAAGTACATCAAGTTAATTTCCGACATCACATTTAGTACGGTACACTGTGAAAATATGTTTATTTCAGTCATTCTAAAATAAATGCTTTCTTAAAAATAAACCATTCTTTAAATGACTCACATTGTTTCAACATTAGTCAATGCATCTGGATGGTGTTTTGTTAGAGACTGATTGTCCTGAAGGATCATGCTATTCAGAACAGAGATCATATACTTCAAGGACTGTAGATGTATTCTGTATAATACCTGGAATAATTTCTTGCACTCCACAATCATGTGGCTGAGCCCTTGACTGGCAGCCATGTTCTCACTCAGGTCCTTGTGGTCCGGTTTTCCCCCTGCCCCCTTTCGGTGGATTAATCTGCCAGAAAGATGGAACACAGTCAACACACATCACAATCATCCTCTGAGCTTTGAGTTCAACAACAGTACAATGTTGTCAATATGCAGCATTTTGATGAGGAAATAGTCAAGAGGAAAACAAATGGTCCAACACTGTCCAACCTCTGTAGTTTTGTTTGGGCTCCATTTTGACATGACACATCCATGAGGATGTTAATAAGCAGAATTTTAGTGCATTTATTTAGCCCATAGGAAAACAACTGGTACAACACTGTCAGTCCTAGGTAGTTTTGTTTGTACAAAATGTTGACTTGACACATCAATGAGGATGGGTAGAGCGCAGCCACTATAATATAATATGCCATTTAGCAGACGCTTTTATCCAAAGCAACTTACAGTCATGTGTGCATACATTTTTACGATTGGGTGGTCCCGGGGATCGAACCCACTACCCTGGCGTTACAAGCGCCATGCTCTACCAATTGAGCTACAGAGGACCACTAAAGCACTCATGTTCCCTAATTGTGATGGATGTAGAAGTGCAAGAGAATACACCAGAGGGAGCTCTGGGCGTCATTTAAAAACACTGATTACAAATGATCCAGCTGCAAAGGCATTAAGGCATTTAGTGCCATGCAGCACACGCCAAAACAAATCAATACATGCCATGATACACACATACAGTGCCTTGCAAAAGTATTCACCCCCCTTGCCGTTTTTTTTCCTATTTTGTTGCATTACAACCTGTAATTTAAATGGATTTTTATTTAGATTTCATGTAATGGACATACACAAAATAATCCAAATTGGTGAAGTGAAATTCAAAAAACAACTTGTTTCAAAAAATTCAAAAAAATAAATAACGGAAAAGTGGTGCGTGCATATGTATTCACCCCCTTTGCTATGAAGCCCCTAAATAAGATCTGGTGCAACCAATTACCTTCAGAGGTCACATAATTAGTTAAATAAAGTCCACCTGTGTGCAATCTAAGTGTCACATGATCTCAGTATAAATACACCTGTTCTGAAAGGCCCCAGAGTCTGCAACACCACTAAGCAAGGGGCACCACCAAGCAAGCGGCACCATGAAGACCAAGGAGCTCTCCAAACAGGTCAGGGACAAAGTTGTGGAGAAGTACAGATCAGGGTTGGGTTATAAAAAATATCCGAAACTTTGAACATCCCACGGAGCACCATTAAATCCATTATTAAAAAATGGAAAGAATATGGCACCACAACAAACCTGCCAAGAGAGGGCCGCCCACCAAAACTCATGGACCAGGCAAGGAGGGCATTAATCAGAGAGGCAACAAAGAAACCAAAGATAACCCTGAAGGAGCTGCAAAGATCCACAGCGGAGATTGGAGTATCTGTCCATAGGACCACTTTAAGCAATACACTCCACAGAGCTGGGCTTTACAGAAGAGTGGCCAGAAAAAAGCCATTGCTTAAAGAAAAAAATAAGCAAACACGTTTGGTGTTCGCCAAAAGGCATGTGGGAGACTCCCCAAACATATGGAAGAAGGTACTCTGGTCAGATGAGACTACAATTGAGATCTTTGGCCATCAAGGAAAACGCTATGTCTGGCGCAAACCCAACACCTCTCATCACCCCGAGAACACCATCCCCACAGTGAAGCATGGTGGTGGCAGCATCATACTGTGGGGATGTTTTTCATCGGCAGGGACTGGGAAAAATGGGCAGAATTGAAGGAATGATGGATGGCGCTAAATACAGGGAAATTCTTGAGGGAAACCTGTTTCAGTCTTCCAGAGATTTGAGACTGGGACGGAGGTTCACCTTCCAGCAGGACAATGACCCTAAGCATACTGCTAAAGCAACACTTGAGTGGTTTAAGGGGAAACATTTAAATGTCTTGGAATGGCCTAGTCAAAGCCCAGACCTCAATCAAATTGAGAATCTGTGGTATGACTTAAAGATTGATGTACACCAGCGGAACCCATCCAATTTGAAGGAGCTGGAGGAGTTTTGCCTTGAATAATGGGCAAAAATCCCAGTGGCTAGATGTGCCAAGCTTATAGAGACATACCCCAAGAGACTTGCAGCTGTAATTGCTGCAAAAGTTGGCTCTACAAAGTATTGACTTTGGTGGGGTGAATAGTTATGCACGCTCAAGTTTTTTTTTTTTTTTCTTATTTCTTGTTTGTTTTTTATTAATTTATTTTGCATCTTCAAAGTGGTTGTGATGAGTGTGATAGAAGGAGTCAGGCGCAGGAGGGTAATCACTGAATGCAGAGTTTATTCCGTCGTACATGCAGAGTTTATTCCGTCGTACACACATAGCGCTGGATAGCGACAAACAAAATAGGCACATGGGAAATATCTACCCTGGCAATACAAGGTAACGGTAGCTCCAACAATAACAGGCACAGGGGAAATATCTACCCTGGCAATAACAAGGTACAAGTAGCTCCACCGAGCTACACTACTCTCACAAATAAACAATCACCCACAAGGACAAGGGGGGCAGAGGGAACACTTATACACAGACTAATGAGGGGATAAGAACCAGGTGTGTGTGATTGACAAGACAAGACAAATGGAATGATGAATAATGGAGCGGCAGTGGCTAGTAAGCCGGTGACGACGAACGCCGAAGCCTGCCCAACAAGGAGGGGAGGCAGCCTCGGCGGAAGTCGTGACAGTGGTAGGCATGTTGTGTAAATCAAATGATACATTTTAATTCCAGGTTGTAAGGCAACAAAATCAGAAAAATGCCCAGGGGGGTGAATACTTTCGCAAGCCACTGTATGCAGACACACGCATACCAGTACATATCTAGGGGAGGTGCCCTCCTTCTTGGAGACGTTGAGGTGCAGAATGGAGGGGGCCAGGCACACGGCCAGGTTCCCAGCTGTCATCTGGTTCTCCTCAGCAGAGGCGATGTCACTGAGGAAAAAGAGCAGGGTCTGCAGGACCTCCCGGTTCTCGTCAGGCAGCAGGATGACTGCAGCCTGGGCTGCCTGAAGACGCATGTCCTTAGGGACACCTGGGAAATACACATGACAGATACATCACCATCTTTGGAATCTCTGATGTTCTGATGTGTAAGATGGTAATTTGACCTAGAACACAGACCAAAGCTGGTGTCTGAACGTCAATTGTTATGTTGGTTTTAAGATCTTAGCATGATAATGATGAAAAAACTGATGACATCTGAATGCACCTGGTAATTATAGCAGTAGACATTCCATATAGATTATAACCAGACATCAAATCTAGACGATGGCTTAATGCCATGTTTGTAAAACCTCCATAAATCCTAACTGTAGCTGTAAAGTCCTAGCTGGGGGACATCATAGAGTACTGTATCATTATTATGCCTCTCAATAAGCTGATCGACTTCTCAGAGGAGACTATCTAGTCACTATATAGTCTCCTCTGAGAAGAACCCTGATCTAGTCAATTATTTAAATCTGATAATTATGTGCTGAGGGGTAATCTGAAGTAGACACAGGAGTTCAGAGCTTTCCTGAGTGGGTGGGTGGGGAGCACTTAGAGCAGAAATGGGCCCGTCAGTGTAAAAAACTCCTCATGAGGGGCTGCAGTGACTTTCAGTGACTGACATAACAAGAGAAAAACTGCTGATGCACAACTACATTTCAAAATTGCACCTTGTTTATTCTACTATTCTAACTCTGAACAGTAACGTTTTTTGGGGGTAGTAGGGGGGCCCGTTTTTGGAAATTGATCCATGGGCCGACAAAATGGGGGGGGGGGGGTCACCCGCAGGCCGCCAGTTGCCCTCCCTGACTTAGAGCTACTGACTCACACTGGTAGATCTGCAGGAAGGTTTCAGTGAGCTTGGTGGTGAGGACGGGTTCAGGTCTCTGAAATACTGTTTCAGCAGGTCGGCCACATCATAGGCTGATTGGCCCTGGTAGCTCACATTGTCTGGAGAATTTTCATTCAGCTTCCGCAGAGTTTGGATCCTAGACTTCACCCCAGACTTACGGAAAATGCCAACCTTGACAGGAAAAGGAGTGAAAAACTGTTGTTAATGTCATTGGTGTATTAGCATAATTCATACACTTCAATGCATTATCATATATAATGTATCACCAAGCACATGAAATCTCACTACAATGGAAATAACATTACATATCTAGAGTGGAACATACACTAAAGTTATAAGGTTATACACACACTATAGCATGAGGGAACACATTATCACTTTGAGGGGATGAGAGTGACAGTATCTTTTCCAGACATTGGCTGCGGAAGTAGCGCATGGCCTGCTGAATGCTCTGGGGTAGGGGTTGCCCACTCCTTTGGACATTGATGATTGGCGGGACACCAAAAACCTGCTTGTCCCTGTAGTCAGGGACCTTACTTCTTTTCATAAACTTAGGAATTTACCTGCCAAAACGGAGGAAAAGGGTGATTAGATTCAATCTTTTCATGTAGATATCAGCATATAGGTTGTTAGCTGAAATATATGTAATAATTCATATCTCTAAATTCATAACAGACTCTGTAGCAATGTATTTTTTTTTGCATACGCCTATTTATTTCTGCAACAACACACTCACTCATCACAAATTGTAAGCAAGCTAGTTGCCTCCTAAAGACATGATTGACATCGGCCGAAAAGGGTGGGCTATCAAGTGTTAATCAAATGTTATGCTGCAGCAGCGGCAGTACTGTTGATATTTAAAATAGGTAGCTTGCTACATACACTCACGCATTTCAAGACATGTATGGTGCATTCGGAAAGTATTCAGACCCCTTGACTTTTTCCACATTTTGTTACGTTACAGCCTTATTCTAAAATTGATTAAATAGTTTTTTCCCCTCATCAATCTACACACAATACCCCATAATGACAAAGGAAAAACTGTTTTTTATAAATTGTTGCAAAAAAAGAATAAAGATGGAAATAATACATTTACATAAGTATTCAGACCCTTTACTCAGTACTTTGTTGAAGCACCTTTGGCAGCGATTACAGCCTCGAGTCTTCTTGGGTATGACGCTACAAGCTTGGCACACCTGTATTTGGGGAGTTTCTCCCATTCTTCTCTGCAGATCCTCTCAAGCTCTGTCAGGTTGGATGTGGAGCATCGCTGCACAGCTATTTTCAGGTCTCTCCAGAGATGTTAGATCGGGTTCAAGTCCAGGCTCTGGCTGGGCCACTCAAGGACATTCAGAGACTTGTCCCGAAGGTTGCTGTCCTGTTGGAAGGTGAACCTTCGGCCCAGTCTGAGGTCCTGAGGGCTCTGGAGCAGGTTTTCATCAAGGATCTCTCTGTACTTTGCGCCGTTCATCTTTGCCTCGATCCTGACTAGTCTCCCAGTCTCTGCCGCTGAAAAAGATCCCCACAGCATGATGCTGCCACCATGCTTCACTGTAGGGATGGTGCCAGGTTTCCTCCAGACGTGACGCTTGGTATTCAGGCCAAAGAGTTCGATCTTGGTTTCATCAGACCAGAGAATCTTGTTCTCATTGTCTGAGAGTCTTTAGGTGCCTTTTGGCAAACTCCAAGCGGGCTGTCATGTGCCTTTTACTGAGGAGTGGCTTCCATCTAGCCACTCTACCATAAAGGCCTGATTGGTGGAGTGCTGCAGAATTGGTTGTCCTTCCGGAAGGTTCTCCCATCTCGACAGAGGAACTCTAGAGCTCTGTCAGAGTGACCATCGGGTTCTTGGTCACCTCCCTGACCAAGGCCCTTCTCCCCAGATTGCTCAGTTTGGCCGGGTGGCCTGCTCTAGGAAGAGTCTTGGTGGTTCCAAACTTCTTCCATTAAAGAATGACGGAGGCCACTGTGTTCTTGGGGACCTTCAATGCTGCAGACAATTTTTGGTACCCTTCCCCAGATCTGTGCCTCGACACAATCCTGTTTCGGCACTCTACGGACAATTCCTTCAACCTCATGGCTTGGTTTTTGCTCTGACATGCATTGTGAACTGTGGGACCTTATATAGACAGGTGTGTGCCTTTCCAAATCATGTCCAATCAATTGAATTTACCACAGGTGGACTCCAATCAAGATGTAGAAACATCTCAAGGATGATAAATGGAAACAGGATGCACCTGAGCTCAATTTCGAGTCTCATAGCAAAGGGTCTGAATACTTCTGTAAATAAGGTATCTGTTTTTTATTTTTTATACATTTGCAAAAATTTCTAAAAACCTGTTTTTGCTTTGTAATTATGGGGTATTGTGTGTAGATTGCTGAGGAATTGATTTTATTTAATCAATTTTAGAATAAGGCTGTAATGTAACAAAATGTGGAAAAAGTCAAGGGGTACTTTCCGAAGGCACTGTATGTGCGGGGGGTGGCGAACTTGATGAGTAACGACGACTTGCGGGCAGTGGGTTCAGAACAACAACGACAAAAAACATATCCCCTCCCAAAACGGCGAGTGTGAGGTCAAAGGGCAGGTGCTCAGGCACAGGTAGACTATCTGTGCACAATCCTGACCACAGGTAACATTAGATATTTTCCCTGGACATCTGATGTCTTTTTTTGAATGAAAACTGTTTGGTCTAACGGTTTCCATTTCATCTGATGAATATTCACATAATACTTTTTCAACTGAGGGATGAAGCCTAATTGTGTGAGAGCACATGGCTTATGATGCAAGATAAATTAAAGTTGGAACCTTTTAGGATGGAGATTAAAACACGCTAATTCATTGCTGACAACTGAGTGTGTCCTAAAATGGCCACTGCAAAGATAATAGTTTCTTTATGTTGGAAAATGTGATTTATTTTGGCGAAGCATGAATCATCTGAATAGGAAATGAGAGCCTGAATGAGAGACGATTGTGAAATTGTACAAGTCAAACTTTTTAACAGCCTGCTTTATGAAAAGCCGATTTTCCTTTTATACTACAATACATTAGCTGCACAAATGTAGATCAAAGGCCTTGCCATATACAATACAATTCACTTTAAAAAGCAGTATCCTGACCACAAGAAAGCAATACTTGAATCTCTTGAAATTAACCTTTCATTCCCTGGACAATTTCATTTCAAAAGGACAGTATAATAGAGTGCATATAGTGCACTTCCCTACATATAGGCCTTCATCTCCATTTCAGTCTCCACTCTCCAGTTTCCAAGGGCCCTGCACTCACCAGCTCCAGCCATGTTTGTTGGGTTCGCAGTACTTCTCCATGATAGCAGTGAGCCGGAGCAGAGAGAACATCTGCAGCAGGTTGAGCTGAGCGGCTGACTGGCGGTTAATCTCCTGGGAGGCTGAAGTCAGGCTCGGCCTGTGAGAGTTCTGGAAACTATGCCACCGTAGCTTCCTAGAGAGAGGGGAAATGCAATGGAAATAAAGGTGAATGTTGATCGATAGAGAATTCTATAAGTGTCCATTTGTGGTATTTCCTAGAGACGATTAAATTGATTAATTCATGTGTCTTTACTATTATACTCTGTCTAAACTTCAAGAGCTATTTAAACATTTGTAAAAATATGGATGAACCTGAACATGTTATCATCTTCATGTTTATAAAATAATGTATATAACAATGTACACTCGGTGACCAGTTTATTAGGTACACCACCCTGTTCACGAAAATGGTTAGCTCCTACAGACAGTGAGTCACGTGGCCATGGCATGCTATATAAAGCAGGCAGACAGGTATCGAGGCATTCAGTTACTGTTCAATTGAACGTTAGAATGTGCAAAACGAGTGACCTAAGCGACTTTGAATGTGGTATGATCATCGGTGCCAAGCACGCCGGTTCCAGTATCTCAGAAACGGCCGTCCTCCTGGGCTTTTCACGCATGACAGTGTCTAGGTTTTACCGAGAATGGGGCTACAAATAAAAAACATTCAGCAGCAGTCCAGTGGGCGAAAGCAGCTCGTTGATGAGAGGTCGAAGGAGAATGGCAAGAATCGTGCAAGCTAACAGGCGGGCCACAAACAGGCAGTACAACAGTGGTGTGCAGAACTACATCTCGGAACGCACAACTCGTCGGTCCTGGTCACGGAGCGGCTCCAGTGGGCATGCAATCACCAACACTGGGCAATTGAGGAGTTGAAAAACATTGCCTGGTCCGACGATTCCCGGTTCCTGTTGCATTATGCTGATGGCACCGGAGGGAATGACGGCCGTTTTACAGGCTCCTGACCAATTGTGCAATTTTGTGTATTTTCTTGCGCTTATCTTAACTTTTTTTGTACATAATGTTTCCGCCATAATTTCCTATGACCAAAAAGAGCTTCTGGACTTCAGAACAGCTATCACTAACCTCCATTTGGATGAGGACTTCTATTTCAATGAGTCGGTTGAAAGACATATTGATTATCGCGGACCAGGCCCAAATCCCCGACACTCGAAGGAGGAGATGGCGCCATAGAGGCCGGCGTGCGGGATACCTGGCGAGACTATGTCGGAGAGAGGATATGGTAGTAGGTGCCAGGCGCACTGGTTTGTGTCAAGAACTGCAACGCTGCTGGCTTTTTCACGCTCAACAGTTTCCCATGTGTATCAAGAATGGTCCACCACCCAACTTGGAACAACTGTGGGAAGTATTGGAGTCAACATGGGCCAGAATCCCTGCGGAACGCTTTCAACACCTTGTAGAGTCCTTGTCCCAATGATTGAGGCTGTTCTGAGGGCAAAATAAATCCCGCTACACCCTCCAGCAAACCATCAAACAGGCAAAGTATCACTATAGGACCAAGACAGGTAATCTTTCTAAATGACTGTAGCCATGAAAGCTTTGAAAGGCTGGTCATGGCTCACATCAACACCATTCTCCCAGACACCCTGGATCCACTCCAATTCGCATACCGCCCCAACAGATCCACAGAGTGTATAAAGCTGTCATCAAGGAAAAGGGTGGCTACTTTGAAGAATCTCAAATATAAAATAGATTTTGATTTGTTGAACACTTTTTTGATTACTACATGATTCCATATGTGTTATTTCATAGTTTTGATGGCTTCACTATTATTCTACAATGTAGAAAATATTCAAAATAACGAAAAACCCTGGAATGAGTAGGTGTGTCCAAACTTTTGACTGGTACTGTGGGTAAACTGGAATATGACTAATGAATTAACCAGGGTGATTTTTCCAGAACTAGACAAGTGTTGTCCTTTCCATGGTAGCAAAATCTTATCTAATTTGGCTAACTTTCTATTAAAATGTATTGTAGTGAGATAATTTCTTTCTTTCGGAATATGAATACCGAGTATGTCCACTTCACCGTCGGGCCATTTTATTGGTGAACTACACGTTCATGTAAATTGTGTATTTTTTAGAGATCCAATATGTAATATGGTGCACTTATCATAATTCTGTTTTAATCCTGAGAGGTTAGAAAAATAATCTAGATCCTCTATGAGGCTGTGCAGGGATCCAAATCGTGGATTTAAAAGAAAACATGAATCGTCAGTGTACAATGACACCTTTGTTTTTAAGCCCTGGATTTCTAGCCCCTTGATATTAATGTTGGATCTAATTTTAATAGTTAACATTTCGATGGCCATATTAAATAGATATGCCGATAGTGGGCAACCTTGTTTTACTCCTCTTGTCAATTTAATACTTTCTGAGAAGTAGCCATTATTTACTATTTTACACCTGGGGTTACTGTACATAACTTAAACCCATTGTATAAGAGATTCTCCTAAATTAAAATAGTCCAGGCATTTATATATAAATTCCAGTCGTACTTTAACAAAGGCCTTTTCAAAGTCAACTATGAATACCAGGCCTGGTTTCCCAGATTTTTCATAGTATTCTATTGTTTCCAGTACTTGTCTTATATTATCTCCAATGTACCGTCCATGTAAAAAATCTGTCTTATTAGGATGAATAATATCTGACAATACCTTTTAATTCTATGCGCTATGCATTTTGCTAGGATTTTGGCATCACAACACTGAAGTGTAAGGGGTCTCCAATTTTTTAGGTGGACTGGATCTTTATATTTACCACCTGGGTCATGTTTCAGTAATAATGAAATGAGACCTTCTTGCTGAGTGTCTGATAGTCTAGCATTTTTATAGGAGTGGTTAAAACATGTTAATAACGAACTTTGAGTACATCGTAAAATATTGAAGGCTTTAATTGCATCTTTAAATATATTGAAGGCTTTAATTGAAGGCTTTAATTGCATCTAGAAGTTCCTCCTCTGTAAATTAGGCCTTCACATGACTCTTTCTCTATAGCTGTTAATTTTACATTGTTAATAGAAGAACAATCCTTACAATTAACTTCTGATAGTGGAAATGGAGGAGACTGAAGTACTTTCCTTCTTCTTTCAAAATATTGTTTGGTGAATCATGGATGACTCCGTTATTTGTAACAAGTTTCTGTAACTTCTTTTTGGTAGCATTTCTATGTTGAAGATAAAGAAAAATAATTTGGTGCATTTTTTCACATATTTCATCCAGTTGGCTTTATTTTTTAAAATATATTACACTTGATCTTTCTTGAATAAGTTCCTCCATTTCTTTTTGTTTTTCCTCTAAATTATTCTGTGCCTCCATGTTACAGTTGTTATTGCTATCGATCTGTACTGTTAGTTCCTCTATTTCCTTTTTTAGGATGAACTCTTTTGACCTAAATTGTTATTGTTTTAAAGATGAGTATTGAATTGCATGGCCTCTAAAAGGCACATTTAAAAGTGTCCCATACAATAAGGGGATCTGCTGTGCCTACGTTATGTAGGGTAATCATTCAGCCTACAGTAGCAGCCAATGTGTGGTGTTTAAGGTAGGCCTACATTCCATGAGACTTTTGAAAAAAACGTGCAGGCTTGACATTAACCTGTTTATCCACTTCAGACAAGGACGTGACTGAAAATGTGTTGTGTTGTTTGATGCAAGAAACCACTTTAAAAAATGTAATGCATTATTATTCCCATACCATTATTACAGAGAATCAGACAAATTATGCTACCCTCTGCCTATTGACTACTTAGCTTATTCAAGCCTGTCTCAAAATACAACACTGCCCCTTTAAGACAAAAAAAAGTTATTTTATCTGAAAATGTACACGTTTGTGCTCTTGTAGGAAGAAATCACTCCCCCATTGCTGACTGCAAATGATCTATAACTGGCCTAATTACTCACTAACTAGCAAAGGATATTAACAAATATGCACACCTGGCTACATGCAGCTCTCATTTTGATCTCAAAACAAGCACATCATGACCGCTCATGCTGTAAACACCAGTCCAGTTCAAAGTGAATGGCACAGATCCATATATGGGAATGGTCTATTTGTATATAGGTCTACTGCAGCTCTGATTGGTTATGCCGCACAGGTCGTTGTAGAGTACGGGCAGAGTCATGCGTCCGATGCGTTCTGCCTACAACAAAATCTCTTGAATAGTTAGTTTTATATGCTAAGTCTTGCATAGTTAGTTTTGTTTCGGTATGTTCCATTGAACGTGGCTAATATTGCGTTGATTCAATCACAATCCACACAGTAAAGGGAAAAGTTGATAGTGTTAACTAAAGGGAAAAACTCTAGAAAGTTGAGTGAAGTTCAATCTCGTGCTTGTCTGCGCAGGCTGATATTTATTCTGCGCAGCAGTCATGGGGGAGCTGCGCACAGCTTAGAGGGAATATTGTGCCGAGCATGCCCCCATCCACATCAACGGGGCTATTATGGAACAGGTAGAGAGCTTCAAGTTCCTCGGTGTCCACATCACTAAGGAACTATCATGGTCCACATATCAACACAGTCGTGAATAGGACACGACAACGCCTCTTCCCCCTCAGGAGGCTGAAAAGATTAGACATTACATTTTATTCATTTAGCAGACGCTCTTATCCAGAGCTACTTACAGTTAGTGAGTGCATCAATTTTTTCATACTGGTCCCCCGTGGGAAACGAACCCACAACCCTGGCGTTGCAAGCGCCATGCTCTACCAACTGAGCTACACGGGACATGGGCCCTCAGATCCTCAAAAAGTTGCACCATTGAGAGCATCCTGACTGGCTGCATTACCGCTTGGTATGGCAACTGTTTGGCATCCGACCGCAAGGCGCTACAGAGGGTAGTGCGTACGGCCCAGTACATCACTGGGGCCGAACTCCCTGCCATCCAGGACCTCTATACCAGGCAGTGTCTGAGGAAGGCCCTAAAAAATTGTAAATACTCCAGCCACCCAAGTCATAGACTGTTCTCTCTGCTACTGCACAGCAAGCGGTACTGATGCACCAAGTCTGGAACCAACAGGACCCTGAACAGCTTCTACCCCCAAGCTATAAGACTGCTAAATAGTTAGTTAAATAGTTAACCAATAGCTACTCAGAATATCTGCATTGACCCTTTTTGGACTAATCTCTTTTGACTCATCACATACACTGCTATTACTGTTTATTATCTATCCCATTGCCTAGTCACTTTATACCTACCTATATGTACATATCTACCTCAATTACCTTGTACCCCTGCACATCAACTCGGTACTGGTACCCCGTGTATATAGCCAAGTTATCGTTACTAATTGTGTATTTATTCCTTGTTATTATTTTTCTATTTTAAAAACATTTTCTACTATCTCTATGCATTGTTGGGAAGGCCCGTAAGTAAACATTTAGTCTACACCTGCTGTTTACGAAGCATGTGACAAATACAATTTTATTTCATTTGAGTCAGGATTTGGCGTAAGTAGCATGAGTCCATGGCCCCATCCTGCCTGGTGTCAATGATACAGGCTGGTGGCAGTGGTGTAAACGTTAGGTCCCTTGATACCAATTGAGCAACGTTTCCATGCCCTGAATAATTCAGGCTGTTCTGGAGGCAAAGGAGGGTCCGACCTGGTACTAGATGGGTGTACCTAATAAACTGGCAGCTGAGTGTATGTTTACCTGCTTGGCCTGGTTAAGGAAGCGCCCACTCCTGAGTCCCTCCTTTCTCTCATCTCAACATCCTCCACTTCATTCAAGGAGTTTCCTGTGCTGTCGTAGTCACTGGCTGTCATGCCTACATCTGACATAGACTGGTCCTCAAAATGGAGGCTGGAGGAGCATGTTGTTTCTCTGGTCTCGTCAGTGTCCACCTCCTCATGCCCGTCATTGAGCTCCTGACACACCATCTTGGACCACTGGTCTATATTCTGCTGAAGGCCATGGACATGTTGAAGGATATCATCCAGATGCTCAAAGACCTTTTCTCTCAATTCGTCTGAACTGCTACTAGCCTCAGGCATATTTTCATAGATGCTCCCCATGGAGGAACACAAGTTCCTTCTTCTAGGAAACATGGTGAAGTCCTGGGACTCCTGACTGCTGCCCAGGGAAAGGTTGACGTCCTCCATCTGCCATCTACCCAGCTCGTGAAAGGTGGAAGAAGTGCACAGGCTCTCGATGGATAGGGATTTGGGGAACGTGCCTGGCTTGTGGTCCATTGGCAGATGAACCAGACAATCTAGTCCATTTCTATAGCCACTCTTCTGACTAACCTGTTTAGCCCCCTTCCACCCGCCCATCTCATAGTCCTCTAGATAGAGCCAACTGTTCTTCACCTTAACTGGGGACCTACGGCCTGTACTCCGACAGATCGTATGGGCCTTTCTGCTGTAATTTACACTGCTATTTTCTGTAGTGTTCTTTTTTAAACCAGGTAGACTTTCATTGGAAGTGCAATGCAAACTGCCAGGGGTTAGAGGGAGCTGCAGCTGATTGGTCACAACTTGGCCATCTGTCGCTTCCCTCTCTTTATCTTTTCTCTTGAACGACTCCATTCTCCTCAGGAAGGTATTGGAACACCTCTTGGTCTTCTCTCTGCTGACAGGAACAGTGACCAGGTCTTTGGGAAAAGCAGGTTGGTCCTCACTGCTCAGGGTGGATCCGTTGGGAGAGTGGGAGCCATGGGAATCATGGTGGGAGGTGAGGGTGTAGGGCTCTGCCGTGCTGGTGACCTGACTGGAGGGGGTTCCCCTGCTGGACGTGGTTCCTCTGGCACTCTCCACACTCAGGCTGCTGCTGCTGTGGGTGGAGGTGACCACCAGGTTACTGAAGTCACTCAAGATGCTTTCGCTACTGGCTGAGGCCCTCATGGGGAGCAGGGTGGTGGAGGAGAGGACCTCCACGCTAGGGGAGATATGCGTGGAAAGGGTACGCAGTCGTGACCACGTCTTACTCTCTCGCTGGAAAGCCCAGCGGTCACTGATAGCACACAGGTCATCCTCCTCTGAGTCTTCACTCTGCATTAGATGAGAGAAAAATTGGAGTAAATTTTTTAACATGGTTATGGATGGATAATTTACATTGACAAGGGCTATGTCTACGTGCAAAGCAAATATAGACTTACTTGAGCATGTAAAATGGAATATAAACCATTGATAATATACAAGGTCATCCAGCACAGATACAGGGAGGGAAAAAATTATTTGATCCCCTGCTGATTTTGTACGTTTGCCCACTGACAAAGAAATGATCAGTCTATAATTTTAATGGTAGGTTTATTTGAACAGTGAGAGACAGAATAACAACAACAAAATCCAGAAAAACGCATGTCAAAAATGTTCTAAATTGATTTGCATTTTAATTAGGAAAAAAAAAAAAAAGTATTTGACCCCCTCTCAATCAGAAAGATTTCTGGCTCCCAGGTGTCTTTTATACAGGTAACGAGCTGAGATTAGGAGCACACTCTTAAAGGGAGTGCTCCTAATCTCAGCTTGTTACTTGTATAAAAGACACCTGTCCACAGAAGCAATCAATCAATCAGATTCCAAACTCTCCATCATGGCCAAGACCAAAGAGCTCTCCAAGGATGTCAGGGACAAGATTGTAGACCTACACAAGGCTGGAATGGGCTACAAGACCATCGCCAAGCAGCTTGCTGAGAAGGTGACAACAATTGGTGCAATTATTCGCAAATGGAAGAAAAACAAAAGACCTGTCAATCTCCCTCGGCCTGGGGCTCCATGCAAGATCTCACCTCGTGGAGTTGCAATGATCATGAGAACGGTGAGGAATCAGCCCAGAACTACACGGGAGGATCTTGTCAATGATCTCAAGGCAGCTGGGACCATAGTCACCAAGAAAACAATTGGTAACACACTACGCCGTGAAGGACTGAAATTCTGCAGCGCCCGCAAGGTCCCCCTGCTCAAGAAAGCACATATACATGCCCGTCTGAAGTTTGCCAATGAACATCTGAATGATTCAGAGGAGAACTGGGTGAAAGTGTTGTGGTCAGATGAGACCAAAATGGAGCTCTTTGGCATCAACTCAATTTGCCGTCTTTCGAGGAGGAGGAATGCTGCCTATGACCCCAAGAACACCATCCCCACCGTCAAACATGGAGGTGGAAACATTATGCTTTAGGGGTGTTTTTCTGCTAAGGGGACAGGACAACTTCACCGCATCAAAGGGACGATGGACGGGGCCATGTACCGTCAAATCTTGGGTGAGAACCTCCTTCCCTCAGCCAGGGCATTGAAAATGGGTCGTGGATGGGTATTCCAGCATGACAATGACCTAAAACACATGGCCAAGGCAACAAAGGAGTGGCTCAAGAAGAAGCACATTAAGGTCCTGGAGTGGCCTAGCCAGTCTCCAGACCTTAATCCCATAGAAAATCTGTGGAGGGAGCTGAAGGTTCGAGTTCCAAACGTCAGCCTCAAAACCTTAATGACTTGGAGAAGATCTGCAAAGAGGAGTGGGACAAAATCCCTCCTGAGATGTGTGCAAACCTGGTTGGCAACTACAAGAAACGTCTGACCTCTGTGATTGCCAACAAGGGTTTTGCCACCAAGTACTAAGTCATGTTTTGCAGAGTGGTCAAATACTTATTTCCCTCATTAAAATGCAAATCAATTTATAAAATTTTTGACATGCATTTTTCTGGATTTTTTTGTTGTTATTCTGTCTCTCACTGTTCAAATAAACCAACCATTAAAATTATAAACTGATCATTTCTTTGTCAGTGGGCAAACGGCAGAGGATCAGCAGAGGATCAAATACTTTTTTCCCCTCACTGTATACTGTGAAAGACAGAGACATGCAACAATAGTCTCATAGAGGCACACTTGTTCAAGGTTGACAGCCTCCTACGTGGAAATGAAAGAGATAAAATGAATAAACACAGGAAATATCCACATTTTTGGGTTGTTTACAAGTGCCAATCCAAATAAGCTAGCCATCTATAAAAACAGTTTCTCTGACAATAGCAGTATTGTGTCTCAAATGTCTTAACAATGTCAACCTGAAAGAGGGACATATCATTGGTTAGATAGGTAGTTAAGCTCATAGGTGTTGATAAGAAAAAATTAAATAAAATCATTCTGTTCATGTCAGTCGCTAGGTTTCCATCTAATTGGCAATAGAATTTCATGCGAAAATTCAAAAAGCTGCATAAATAAAATATGCACATTTTCCCACCAGAGATGTTTTTCCACCAAATTGACTTGTTGCGGATAAAGGTCTGTGCATGATGACATAGTGCCCAAAAGATTAAATGGGTTTCCATCGCACTTTCAACTCTATTGATGGTTTTGTCACTAAAAATGTTGTGTTATATAGCGAATGTGTCCACTATAGTATTGGCACACGCACTTTAGCCAACAGCTTGCAAATACAGTGCGGGTATAGCCTACATGATGAGATTATTATGGACAAAAAAGCGAGATCATTTTTATTTGTCAAACGGCAGCCAAGCATCGATCATCATGTCACCAGAATAAGACCACCGATATTTATTGGAAAGTAGCATCAAGCCTCATCCCCGTGCACTTTCATCACCCTGTGACGTTCATCATAACTTATTTCATCTGTAGCCCAATAAACTGCATGCTTTCTCGAGTCGTAGTGGGAGGACCACACAGCATATCTTTGCGTGACTCCAAAAACACTTGAATATGATGGTTATTCTATCAATTTTTGCGCATAAAAGCGTTTCTACCGCCATTTCACGCATAATTAATTTTACAGACAGAAAAAGACCCCACCAAAGATTGGATGGAAAACCTGGTTAATATGCAATATTTCCTGTATTTTTTAAGGGCCACATACATCCCTGGCTCCCCTTAGTAATTGTGTTCCAGATCAGTTTGCATCTCATGCATATGTTTTTATTTTTAAGGGGTTATTTTAGGTCCCACGCGATGGGGGAGGACTTGACAGTGAATGAAAACACATATACAAACTCCCCACCCCCCAAAATTGGAATTCAAGGAGGCTCAAACATCTTTGATGGATCAAAATGCATGACTTATCTTTGGCACAGAACATAATTCAGAGCAAGAGTATGCAGACATGAAGGCCTTGTGGCCAGGCTGTTCTATTTTTACATCACTCCACCCCAGAGTGAATTTCACACCATGTAAATTGCTGCACCACAGATTTAAATGAGTCTATGTGTGAGGCATTTCACTAACAGGTTTATTTAGGAAAAATGTGTCAAATGATATGTCAGAAATTTCAAGAGTCAGAAAGTCTACAATGAACATCACCACATTTTCAATTTGCTTGATTCATGCCTTTTTGCTGAAGACAGACAACAGTTCAACTTTTCTCTTACAGCTCAAAGTTTCAATAGTTGGAACTTGAAGACAGTAAAAAAAAAAAATCTCGTTATTGTATCGTATCATATCGAAGGGCCCCTCTTCACCTTCATTATTTATGCTGGTGTCGAAGACAAGCTAAGACATTCACAATATTTTTCAAATAATTAACGAGATGTAAGACCGACCTTAAACATATCGCTGTCACGATCGTTAGAGGGAGTAGACCAAGGCGCAGCGTGATGAGCGAACATACTTTATTATCTTTAGTGATAATAAGAACAAAACAACAAACGATAACGACACGTGAAGTCCTAGGTTTAACATAACCAACAAGGAACAAACCAAAAGGAACAAGATCCCACAACTACTGTGGGTCAACTGGCAGTTTAAATGTGGTTCCCAATCAGAGACAACCAGCCACAGCTGACACTCGTTGCCTCTTATTGAGAACCACACTGGCCAACATAGAAATAGCACACATAGAACTACAACACAGAAACCAAACACATAGAATCTACACACCCTGGCTCAACATATAGAGTCTCCAGAGCCAGGGTGTGACAGTACCCCCCCCCAAAGGCGCGGACTGCGACCGCGCCTAAACATAAACAAACCAGGGGAGGGCTGGGTGGTCATTCCTCCTCGGAGGCGGTTCCAGCTCCGGGCTTGACCACCACCCTCCAATAATCCCCCCGTAGCGCCCCTGGTCCGGTCTGGCCCCGCTGGCTGGAGCTGGACTGGACATCGTAGGAGCGGATTGCTTCAGCTCCGGTGTGGAGCAGCTGACCGGTACCTGACCAGGCACCGGTGACCCAGGCACGGGTTGGACCAGACTGACGACGCACACCCCTGGCTTGGTGCGTGGAGCAGGAACGGGCCGGACCGGGCTGACGATGCGCACCCCTGGCTTGGTGCGTGGAGCAGCAACGGGCCGGACCGGGCTGACGATGCGCACCCCTGGCTTGGTGCGTGGAGCAGGAACGGGCCGGACCGGGCTGACAATGCGCACCCCTGGCTTGGTGCGTGGAGCAGCTACGGGCCGGACCGGGCTGACGATGCGCACCCCTGGCTTGGTGCGTGGAGCCGGAACGGGCCGTACCAGGCTGACGATGCGCACCCCTGGCTTGGTGCGTGGAGCAGGAATGGGCCGGACCGGGCTGACGACTCGCACCCCTGGCTTGGTGCGTGGAGCAGGAACGGGCCTTACCGGGCTGACGACTCACACCCCTGGCTTGGTGCGAGTGGCAGGAACAGGCCGGGCCGGGCTGGCGACGCGCACCGTAGGCTTGGTGCGAGGGGCAGGAACAGGCCGGGCCGGGCTGGCGACGCGTACCATTAGCTTGGTGCGGGGAGCAGGAACAGGCCGGGCTGGGCTGGCGATGCGCACCGTAGGCTTGGTGCGGGGAGCAGGAACAGGCCGGGCCGGGCTGGCGACGCGCACCGTAGGCTTGGTGCGAGGGGCAGGAACAGGCCGGGCCGGGCTGGCGACGCGCACCATCAACTTAGTGCGGGGAGCAGGAACAGGCCGGGCCGGGCTGGCGACGCGCACCGTAGGCTTGGTGCGAGGGGCAGGAACAGGCCGGGCCGGGCTGGCGACGCGCACCGTAGGCTTGGTGCGAGGGGCAGGAACAGGCCGGGCCGGGCTGGCAACGCGCACCATCAACTTAGTGCGGGGAGCAGGAACGGGCCGGACCGGACTG